GGTGGAGGTGGTGGAGTCCATTGAGAAGTTTTCAGATGACAAAATTCAGACATATGAAGAGACAGCAATGATTGTTGAGACAATGATAGAGAAGACAAGCAAGAAGAAACTAGGTGACAAAGGCTCTTAAGTGACACATACCCTCTGATAGTCAATTTGTCTGGCATAGTTATTAAATGACTGTGTTTTTTTCCTGACCGAATGATACAGTAGTGAGATTTTTGCTGTTTGGTATGGAACAGATTGAAACCTTGATGGCAATTCTGTCTGATGTAGGCTCACCTTTGGTGCAACAACCATTAGCGCTCTCCAGGGCACATCCTATGCAACTCATTTTCATAATTAGAACACATGGGAAGAAATTACTATGACAGAGCTGCCTGGCTTTCCACAGTATCCAGGACAAATTTGCATATTCCTCTACTGCTCCTTCAACTGCCGTATGATCCCCCCATCTTTGAGATAGCTGCAAATGTTAACTTGTGACATCTGGTTCATTTAATAAAAGTTTTGCCTTCTACCAAAGATACTCACTGTGGGTTTACTTTGCCTGTAACATTGACTCACAGACCCTACTTGTAAACAGATCCTACTTGTAAACATCACCTGACTGGTGTGCAGCAGTTTGTCCAGGGAAAGAGCTGGATACCTCTTAAATAACCTGTTCCAAAAATCTCCCTTTCAAAGTCTTTAAATAGCAACGAGCTTGGCAGACCTTTCTTTTTGGCAATAAAGGCAAACTTCCTGTATTCAAGATAAGCTCTTACTGCAGATCTTCTCAGAATAAATCTCCCTGAAGGGAGATCTCCCTTACAAAAGCTATTATTTGTCCTTCACCAACACAACTGATGTACTTATGAATGCCAACAAGCTTTTGAGCAGACTGCAGCCAAATACTGAGTATTTAGGTATTTTCTTTTTAAGTATTTCCTTGGACTATAGAGTTTCATACTGCCACAGGATCCTGTCTCACTCCTGTCACTTGCAGTCACATGGAGCTCCACAGGATTGTTGGAATAAGCAGTGCCTTTCCACCTTCCCATGCCTGGGGAAGCAAAAAGAAACACTTGCAGCAACAACAGTCTTACAACTCCCAGAAACCTTCAGCTCAAGAAAATAAACAAAAACCCACAAATTAAAAATCAGAGAAATGTGTGTAAATGTGTGTGTATGTGTGTAAATAATGAGCTCTCTAATGTAAATAATGAGCTTGTATGTGTGTAAATAATGAGCTCTACCTAAAGTGCTCATACACCATTTAGGCCTCAGCTTTACTCCAGGCACACGAACGATCACACTAAAGCCCAAGACTTACTGAAGGGTGGTACTAGATTAGTCTCTACAAATTTCTTCTTCAATCCAATGCCAGTTCTCTAAGTTTTCATTTCAGCTTCCAGCATTGTTGTGCCTTTCTGCCTTTTAACTCCTGTCAGCTGCAGGAAAGTAAGGTTAAAAGCCATTTGAGCTGACAAGTCTGAGCTTGAGGAACTCCTCACAGCGCCCAAGGCTTTCCTGCAATAATATGTTGGGTTTTGTTATTTCATTCATGAGGTCCAGCACAGGTGTAGCATCTCATCTCCTGTGATTGTTATGTCTGGTAAAGTGGCACCTTATTCTTTGAAACAGGGACAGGTGACTCTTAACAGTCACAAATTTAGTCAGGACTTTTTGTTGATGCTGGTTTATTGGAATGCTGTGGGAGTTTATTCCAGACATGGCTTACTAGAGCATGTTCCTTTTCAGTTTAATATATTAGCAGTGTAAATAACTGCAGAGAAGGAATTTATCAATGCCTATGCAGGCTGGACTCTGGTCACCTGGTAGCAACTGCCCAGAATAATTGCTGCTGAAAGAATTTGACCGCTGCAAGCTAAACAAAACAAAACAAAAAAACCCAAAAACCTACCCTCATTGCAGCAATAGACAGTCTGTTTAATAATTCTGTCACAAAGCAGAGTATAAACAGGTTCAGGCAGTACCTGGTTGGAACTGGATATTCTTCCCCCTCTTCCAGTCCATCTGATTTCACTGCAATACAGTGGACTCAATGTTCAAAATACAAAAAGCCTCATTCAATAGCAAGGAGGCAATGTCAGGACAGCCTGGGTGAGGTGTCCAGTGTGTGAATACCTCCACCACCTTAATCCTTTTTGTGCAGTGGTGTCACCACTGGCTGCTGACCCAGACCTGGTTTATGATGGCTGTAACCCTTGCTCAGCATTTCAGTGTGGTGTAAGAACTGCTCCTAAAGCTGGTTTGATGGCACTTACTGCTGAAGGAAATTACATACTGCATTGCCTGGGTAGCAACCAGCAGAACTCAAGGACTAAGAAGAGGTGAGGGCCAGATTCTGCTACAATCTGTAAACTTTCTGTATATTTGCATGAAATTTACATAGAAAACCACTAGTAGTATCTGGTTAATAGTGACCTTACTGAAGTGTATAGTAAATCTCGTAATTTTAGGGGATAACCTCTACATTAAATGCAGATTCTCAATGAAGTGTTTAAATGCTAAAGTTTAATGGTAAAATAGTTGCAAACATCTATTCAACAAGAGACTGGAATGAGAATCAGGTTTCTACAGGCACATTCTCACTTCTGAGGCAACCAGAACTAGATCAGGAGGTTCCCTGCCAGATTGTACTGCTGCAGACATGACAGAGTATTATAAAATGAAATGTACTTTCTGCCATGGAAACACAGGAGCTAAAAAGTACCCAAAAGTTATGGGGGGGGGGGGGGGGGGGGAGTAGAGATGAAAAGGGAAACAGGAGACTTAATGTGAATCAAAGTGCTCCAAACAGCAGAGGAAAAAAATCTGCTGTAGCATTTCCTTAGGACCAGAGCTGCTTATGTGCTAAAGTGCAAAACTAACAGCCTCTGTTCTTGATCATCCTCCTCCCAATGAAGCTCAGCACCTGCACTGCTACTGCCTTTGCAGTGCTGACCTTGGAGCCAATGGGTTTGAACCATGAAAATAATGCCAAGTAAATTTAAAAAAAGCTCCTCCCAGCCTGTGGCATGAATCTTGTATGTGACAGAGTTTCACAGTTAACATAAAATACTTTATTCGTAATCTGCTGCTATCAAATCTTTATCTTCTCTGTATCCACTATGCAGGATACAAATTTCTTTACAGTGCAAAAAGCCGAGAAGTAGGAAGTCATCACACTGAGAGCAGCATTTTACTTCCTGTGTACCTTCAGATAAGCAATGATGATAGGACCTGCCAGTTTATAACAGCTTTTTATTTTACTGATATTATAAAACATCATCACAGGGCTCACCTATTTTGCATCATGAGCTTAATTTTCCCTTTTATTATAAATACTAAAAAATTAACTTTCTTTTACATCAGCAATACCATAAAAACTCAGTCTACCTGGACATATTTTTGAGTGATCCCTTGAACCAAAAATCCCCAAGAATTTGAAGTAGATCTCTATATTGTATATAAATGTAATTTTATATATATAATTATATCAAAATTCACCACTTTCACTCATTATTGTGATTTTTCAATTACTAAATTATGTCAGCATTATGAAAATATGGACAGCCATCTAGTTATTTTGCTGCTTTATATTTAATAATTTACCAGACAACTGAAAAATTACATGAATGCAATGGAAAATCATGTACATGTTCATTTATGAATTCCACATGGACTTTTCTTATTCCAAAACTTTTCCAGATTTTAGAAGTCCAGTAAAAACTTTCAGTAACCTCTTTGATCACATACACACAAAAGTTACGATGTATGTGTATTATATCATACATACCATATGTAATTCTAGACATATTTATATGCAAATATATGTAACGTACTCTGAATATATATATTGTATGATTTATATATATATTTAAAACACACAGAGAGTGATACCGAAGGTGTGTATGTATTTAGTCATACAGGTGTGTACATAAATATATATATATATGGTAAATTTTTCTGATGGGACTGCTACATGCAATGAGAAACCTGTGAGTAGTGTGAGGCTGCTTGGTTTGGCTTTAGAGTATAATTCACATAGACATTGAGTAGGTTGAGCTGTTTATTTTTCATTTGGAAAAGGAAAGAACAAACCTCTTACGGAAAAATAAAAGATTATTAGTCTCTTGAATTAACATTCTATTAACATTATTCTCATACATTATTAAGTGAAACACATTCACCATAGAATCTTTGGGTTATGTTTTTAATTTGTTAGATAAATATTTACCTACTAAATGTGTTTCTACTACTATGCACCGGATCAACCAGAACAACTCTTATTAAAGCATCTTAGATTCATACTCTGCATATTAAAAATAACTTAAAAAAATCTGAAACTAGTCACTGCTAAAATGTAGATCTTGGATCCTGCAAAGATCTGAAATATCTGCTTAAAATTACCATTTAAGTAGGTCCACTGATGGGCTTTAGTGCAAGTGCCTAAATATTTGCAGAATCAAGACCCTTTATTTTTCTAAGGTTAAATTTGGGATGTCACACCTGAGAACATGTAGTGGTTGCTTCATCTCCCAACCAGGGAGAATGTTATGTTTTGCAGCAATAGCCAGAGCATACTTTTGAGGGTGAGAGAAATGGACTTTAACTCATGTCCAAAAAGTCAAGGTGGGACTGACTTTAAACAGAAAAAACAATGACTGCCAGCAAATCTTCCCAAATGTACTACATTTTATTTCTCAAGAAGGCCAACATTGCATTACACTTTAATAACTTCAGCATATTTTTCTCCTTAAATATATTTGTATAACATAATACCAGCAAATATATAGCTTTAAAATGAAATTTAAATTAAAAATTGCTTTGGGACTGAAACTGTGTGCTTCAAATTTTCCCCACAGCAGTTTATTGGCAGCTGGGTTGCAAACCCCAGAAAACAGGTGTCTGTGGTTGGTAATGCTGACACAGCCTCATTTTACAGTGCTGGAGAACATCTCAGTAGAGAGACCAGAAGATGCACACAAGCTGCCAGAAATCCAACAGCTTGCTCTGCTGTAAGATGGTAAATTGATTTAAACTGCTAAAACTACAAAACAAAACAAAAAACAACAACAACAACACAGAAAAAGAATCCCCAAAACAACCAAACTAAAAAAAAACTCTAGCAAAACTGGGATTTGTGCTTCTAGGAGGCCCTGACCCGGTTTGCAAATCACTTCTCCCTGCCACCCAGCTTTGGCATTGCTTTGCGTTCCTTATTGCATATCTGTTGATCCATCTCGTACCTGAAGTGTGTATGCAGTGTAACTGTAGTATGAAATAAAATTCTCAAAAGAATTGGATTTCTGCCAGTCAGATTGGTGAATGTTCCTTATCTCTGGATTATTTCTTTTTGTGGGGTCTAGTGGTACTTTGGTTAAACCCAATGGAGGAAGTCCCACTCAAGTCAGTGATGCAGAAGGAGCATGTTCAAAGACCTCTCCAGATAATCTCTTTGTGATTCCGTCTCTCTGTCATTTTTTTAAAATGTGCTCAATTATCACCAACTTCCAGTGTAAAAATTAACTTTTTTTAAAATACAAACATATATCACAGAAATATGAAGGGAAAAGCCATTAATTTCTTTGCAGGTTATTACCTATTTGTATGACACAAAAGAAAAATCATCATTTACAGTCACAAACTATACATACTATTTGGTGGGAGTACGTTTTTTGGCCTAGAGATAAAACATGGACTGCTTCAGTGGCAAGTAAAATAATTATTGACGAGATATATGACTTTAAAATCATGAAAGGATGATAATTTGTCTAGAGAGACAATCATTGTAATACATCTAACACAGAGGTTAGGATAGCAGAACAGTGAGTAGAGGGGTCTGGGGAAGGAAAGACACCGTCATGCAACACAGCATTACTTCTTGCTCAGTATACTCTTCAGGCTTCTCTCCACTGCTTCATCTAACTCTTCTTCCAGCTCTTCCTTCTTGGACATGGCCAGCTTGGACTGATAATCTTTTACGATTTGGTCTATATACGGTGCACTCTGAGTCCCATGCAGCATCAGTGTCCACTCCTTCAGCACACCCCGCTGGGGCTGGCTGCCAACAAACCCAATCTCCAGAGCCCAGGTGCCTCGGGGGTCTTCTCCCCAAGTGTGAGTCGTCATGAAAGGCCATTTGTCAAAACCCACCTTGGAGTCATCATCCCTGGGGCGCCGGCTCAGCAAAATGGACTTTGTTCCCATTGGTGAGGTCATGTTGATGTTGAGGTCTCCTCGCCGAGTGGAATTCACAGTTATAACTGCCTGCACATGTTCAAGGTACCGGACAAAGTTCTCCTTCCCCTCACAAGCATCAGTTGTCAGTGTGAGGAACAGTTTGCCACTTGGTGGTATCTTTCTGTGCGTCAAAAGATAATTAAGCAAATTAAAACAGTACAATATGGCTTATGCTAAAAGTACTGGGTTTTAGTGCCTCACAGAAAAACACTGTATGATTTTCCTTATTAATAAATGAAGAAGTAAGGAAATAATATAGTTGCAAACCTAGTCAGAAAGCAAATGTTCCCCTTTTAGAAAATTACACCAAAATCTTAATTTGAAAATAATTATGAAAGGTACACCTACAGAAAGAGAGAAGTAATAAAATTTTAGAATCACATACTGCATTTTAAGGACTAATGTTAATGGTTGTCTTTACCTATCACTCCTATATTGGGCAATTGCATAATAATGTGCATACTCAGTAAAAGAACCACGAGTAGTCAGTCATGTCAGTTTCCTTAAACGACAGCAGCAAATGGCTCTCTGGTGTTGAAGAGAAAACAAAATTTCAGTGCAGTCATATTAAAGCCTATGTCCTTGTTCTTCTTTGGAAACCAGCATAAGTGTGGGGTGCTGGAGTTGGCTTATTTGAAAAATAGTTTTCCACAAAGATTTCCATCCTTGAACAGCTCCTGTACATGAGTACCTACACCAAGGAAAGAAGCTGCACATGTTTACTGAGTTACCAAAGTGCTGTCTGGCCCGGGGGTGGGGAGACGAGCCTGTAAAGTGCCTTCTAAACTTGTTGGGGTCAGGATGCAACTTCAATTACCCACTGCCTCAGAAACTGGCTGGCAAAATACACTGAAAGTGTAAAAATGCTCTACATCTTCATGATCAGTGTTCTTTGAGCAGTGTGACATTTTTCTCTGTCTAAAAGATATAATCGAAAGACAAGAATTACAGCAATCATTATGAAAGTGACCAAGTCACAAAAGAGTCCAGTCACCTTGTCATTATCTTGTCTTCCAGTGGCTTCTCCCCGACCTTAGTTGTGCAAATTGAGAATCTTTTGAAGGGCATTGACTACCCTGTGGTAATGAATACCTTTTTTTCAAAAGAAATCAGCACCAGCTTTTTCCCTCTGCTAATGAAATACCACATTCTTTAGAGACCAGTGAAAGCATTTCATTCAAGCCTAGCTTCCAGGAATTCTTTTCTTCTTGAAATGAGCTCCAGATATTACACTTACTATGTGGCTCAGGCCAATCTCTGTCCCCCTTCCATAGAGTATTACCTTCTTGAAAGTACTTGCAGAGCAAAACATCATTTAGATCAAGATCCTCAAGGCATTTAAACACTTACCTTAAACTGAAAAACCTGTGTTGTTCTGAGTATTATGGAGCAGAAGTTGGCATAACATAAATATTGTATAGCTAAAACATTTGAGCATCTAATATAATACCCTTGAGATACTTATTTGACATGTCAAAGCACAAGAAAAATGCACTACATGCAGACAGATGTGAAGGGTTGTAATTTCACAGTTGCCACATGCTTGGAGTTTCTCTGCATGGGAAGCCTCAATCTCAACTCAATCTGAATTCATGCTGTCTCACAGCCTTTTCACATGGTGGACAAAGCTTTGTCAAACACTGCTTCATTTCCAGAGATGTGACAATTGTTTTATCTCCTTCAGTTAATGAGGAGGGACATCACAGTATGAGTCTTCCTGTCCAGACTAAAGCCCAAAGAAGCAAGAGCAGTATGTTCCCACTACATCTGCTCTGCAGAATGTTTGACAGCTGCAAAAAGCTTTTCTCTCCACATTCTCAAATACTGCAGTGCAAACATTCTCTCAGCTCTCTAAAAATACGAGAATACGCTTCCTCTGTTTCCCCCTTTCCTATTAACTAGGATCAAATAGTCTCTGCTTCACTAGACTAATTATTGTAGTCTAGGTGATTTTTTCTAAAGAAACAAAAAGAACCAGGGTTAATGGAAAAACCTGACACAAAGGTGAAGAAGAGAAAGTGGATTTTCCACAGCCTTACCATGTGCCACTACCCAACTTGTGTATATACATATACATATACATATACATATACATATACATATAGTATGTCCATGGCATAGGAGCCAGTGGGAGATTATATATAGTATATTCACTTTTGCAGGTGTAGTACCTAGTGGGAGATGAGCAGAGGGAGCTCCTGTGTGCTCCTGTTCCTCAGTTAATGGACTATGTTTTCTTAAAATTTTTTATTTCCCTAAACCAGTCAGAACCCCTGTCAGGAAAAGTTCCTATTGCTAACAAATGTTTCTGTTTTAAATACTGGTTGTGTTCAGTATACGGTATATTATGTCTGTTAATTATTTCCTGGCCTTTTGCTTAATTGACAATGCTGCTCTAAAACACACCTCTGTTTTAACTACTCACCTTCATAAATCTATACCAAATACATACATTATATATAAAAACATCTATACTTAAATAAAAATATAGAGAAAATACATAGAAAATGTTGCTTCAGCAAGCCAAACCAAAAGAACAACCCACTTATCTACAGCAAAAATGCAGAGTTTTAATTTCCAAAGAATCTCTGGGGATGCTGGGACTTAGCTAGCTATTTTTTTTACAGTGCAATTAAAAAAATGTACATGTTGCACTTCATAATGCTTCTCATCTCCTGTCAGTGACATTTTCATTGGGGAACACAAATATTACAACAGTACTGTTAATATATAGATGTGTCAGGCAATTGACAGCGAGACACCCTTACAGCCTGCGGAAATAAATGTTCTTTCCTCCTCTAAGATGATCCCCATTTCAGTAAATGGAGCTACCTTAAGATAATGAGATTATTGTGCATTTAATTATTAATAAACTAGAGATATCCTAAAACTAGCTTTGGTATTCTCATTTGTTTTTTACCTGTGAGTATGCATAGGACAGATAAATTAAAATTCAGAGCTCAGCTGCAGAACCTTGAATCATGCAAATTCAATTTGCAAAGTTGGGGGAAAACCCACTCTTTCCCTGGCTGAGCTATGTGCTAGGGTGGCATCCTGGTTTGTTTTCTTTTTCCAATAGAATAATGTTCGCTTCAAAAATGGCACTGAAAAGTCAAATTTCAAATGGTATAGATATAATTCAGGCCATTATTAAGTTAGTATTTCAATTACTTAAAGTAATTACTAATTTAAGTAATTACTAATTTAAGTAATTACTTAAATTTAAGTAAATTCAATTACTTAAATTAAAGTAATTAAATCTGTTGTAGTCAATTAGCATTCATTCATTCGTTGACTCATTCACTTTAGCACATAAAGGTAAATCAGAAAATAACCTGACTACCTACCCTGAAATTAGAGAATTTAAGAGCTTAAAGCAAGCACAATTAAATGCTATAGTGCTCAGTGCTGGTACTTGTAGATGATTGCTTCAGTCTTCTGGAGATAAAACTGTCTGCTGAAGAATCTCAGAATGAGATATGACCTGGCTGATAGATATTTCATGTGGCAGCAGTTTATGTAATTTACAGTGCCAGTCTCCCCAGTTTTCATTTGGGGATCCGCTCTTTATTCATAGAAACTTTAGCACAAATATACCTGCGAGTGCCCAGGAGAAATGGATGTTGCTATTTACACTACTGGCACTAGCATATAGGATGGGCTATAGAATGTACTGCTCCAACAAGCCAGGAACTGAAAAATCATATAGTTTCATCAAGCATTGTTAATAAAAAATGTTTTATCAACTCATTACTGGTAATGTTACGGTTTCTTAGGAAACAAAAAAACCTCATTAAATTTCTTTACCTGTCTTTGTCAATATAATTTAATGCTTGCGGTTTCCCAGATGCCTGGAAGAAGCCAAACATATCCACCAGACTATTCACTTACTCAGGTTCCTGTATTGACCCTCCAACACAATGGAATCTCTCAGGAACAGTCTTCCAGTCTTTTGCCATCTTAACCATGGCTCCTGCATCTAGGACACCATAGCCAAACAAATGGTTGAACTCCAGTCCAACACCATTCCTACGCCACCTGTGAACCTCATCATGAAGCTGGTTCCTCTTGGAGGTGAGCACTGTCAGATGCTGCATGTCTCTCCATGTCAGATGCAAGCTGTGGAAGAGCAACATGAGAAACGAACGTTACAGTATTTCCAAGCAGATATTAAAGAAAAACTGTGCTTGAGTAAGGCTTTGGGTAAAGTTTGCTTCCATGAATAACACTGAAATTGTAACTACACAAATATTCAGTAACAAAGCTTCTATTGGTCCTTCTATTGAGCTCAGTGGGAATAAGAATATGTTCTCCAAAATTGCAAAACCACTTCTGATTCAAACCATCAGCCTAAAAGGACGTGCTTTTCAGCTTTCAGTGCCCCAAGTAATAGGCATGTGTATGTGCTGAATGTACACCAGAACAGCCAATTACCGTCATTCGCCAAGGTGACACAAGACAGCTGAAAAGAAGATATGGCTTGCATCATTCTTATTGAGATCTTTTAAAAGCTTGCTCCATATCTTAAAGCTGTACTTTCTATTTCATAGATTGGTCTGGTTTGAGAGACATGTCAGTCCTATATTGTGTATGAGCTGACAGACATAATGCAGGCAAGAACACGCTTCATGGGAGATTGTCAGTGACTCCTGGCAAGGCTCATCCAGGATGCACAATACAATTCAATACAGCCAGAAGGATATGGGAGACACTGACAGTTCCTTCTCTCTCCTGCTGCCTTCTCAGCAAAGCCTAGAAATTCTAGCGCAAGCCAGGGGTATTAAGTCTAATTCCTATTCATTATAATGGCAGAGTAATTCCAGTCTTTATGGGTAGCTCAAATGAAAAAGAATAATTATTACTGAGATATTTAGGATCCAGTCCAGTTTAAACATTTAGTGGTCAGAAAATTCATTAAACCTTTACATTTTTATGGCCATATTAATATTTTATATAGTGGCTGTCCCACTAAATGAATTTGATAGTAGAAGGAATGATCATCCAAAGCTTAACATTTGGCATGCGTTTTACATGTATAAAACCTGAAAAATGAGACTTGGACCAAGTCATGTTCTGAGCACGATAGCCATTGCTCTGTTATTGTAAAATAACTCACAAATCTTCATTATTCTGCACTGTTGAAGGAAACTGTGCACATAGTACTCACTTCATGCTGTGGTTACAGCAACTGAAGCTCTGTAACTAAGCAAATGTTGCCTCAGTTCATGAAAAAAATTACCATATTGAAAGGAAAACTTTTCCTAATCAGTAGAGAAGAAGGTAATGATTTCAAGATATAAAAATGGTTCCAGTGTCAGGAATACCATGGACATAGTAAACAAACAATGGATATTTATTCCTTCATGTAATAGAGCAATTACACAGCACAGAAGCAAGCTACCAGCAATGGGTTAAGGAAACAAAGAAAACATTCCACACCACCATTGCAAAAAAAAATATTGAGGAACTGGTTGTTACTGTATGACCTAGGTGCCAAATACAGACAATCTGAAAAAGAGTTAGACAACTCCAAGGAAGATCAATCTGCCTGTGGCTATTAAACAGAAGAGACCCACTGCTGTCTCTACAAATCATGGATCAACAAAGGCCTTGTTTTAAGATCACTTTTAATCCTCACTTCTTGTCCTCTTCCTAAGCATCTGTCATTGCAGACAGTATCCTGGCACAAGATGAACTCCTGTCTCATATTACTGGGTCATTCTTATATTTTTATAGGCTGGGCATTTCACAGAGGACATGTGGAGAAATTAAATAATCTCTTCCTCCAAACAGTGCTAGAGAAGTCTAATTCCCAGATGCAGAGGATGGGGAGGACACAGAGAGAGCCAGACAGCCAAAATACATCTGCCATGCAACTTTGGCAAGGCTGTTGCTCCATCTGCAAGTCACCATGCACGTCACTACTGTACAAGGTGGTTTTTGAGCTGGTTACTGCAGCCTCATGCCACAGCCAGCAAACTGAAATGATGAACACCATTAAATAAACCACAGCCCCTCTCCTCTCTAGAGCCCATGAGGAATTTCTTAACAGCATACTTAGCCTCCAGGGCCAGGGCGAACACTCCGGCTGCTTCAGGGGCAGCTGCAGATGTGCCTGAATGACGCAGGGTGCAGTTGCCATACAAATCTGTTGTAGCCTGCAATGACATTAGATGTAATTAATAAAACTAGATATCCTATTTTCACTGCAGCTACAGACTCAGAAAAATACAGAAAGTGGAGTTAGTGCCCTTGCTCTTTCATTGTATTTATGCCCATGCTCTGTTCTCTTTTCTGGAAAAGTGTATCAATTTAAAACCACAGTGAGACACATTTAGAGCATAAATGAAAGAGCAAGTCATCAGGTAGTAAACCAGTGGTCATTATCACTTAGAACCCATCTACTTCTAACAAACATGGCTTAACCAAAGGCCTTAAATTCGTTTCTGATTATCAAAAAGACTTGAAACTAGAATTGGTAACACTATTGAATTTATTAACATTTGTCCAACTCTGAGACCAGCAGCACCACCAGGCTGCTGTCTTCTGTGCAGATTAGTCACTAGCAGAGACCAGAAAAAAACCCTCAGAAATGCATTTATGGCAATAATTACAAAGATGCCACAGATCATTTTGGCTGGTATCATCACAGAGCTGACTGAAGACAGAAAATAGTGCTCTGTCTGCTACTGCATGTGGGCATTTAGGATTGCACAGTGTGTCTTGGGGATTTGAAACAGGGCCATGGAAAATGTACAACAACTTTTTGCAAAAAATAACTTTGAGTCAGCATGCGTGCATTTTCCACTCTGTAAACTGAACTAATCTGAAGGTGCTAAAGAGCGATGATCATTACAGTGGAAGAAAATCCCAAATACAATTAAACAGAACTTGCCTGTTTTCCAGCTGTAGGTATAGCCCTGCAGCAACAGCAGGCTCTGGTAATCTGAACCCCTATATGTCCTCTGTGGGTGATTAAATGTCATTCTGCTCTGTGCTGCTTGTACAGCAGAAGTCTGCCAGTACAAGAAAATATTATCTCAGACGTTAACTTAGATTTTTACAGAAACCTTCTGTCACACTGTCCTTCACAAAGAGGGCAACTGAACTTCGTAATCTGGTTTCTGATAAAGGAAAGCACCGCCTTTCCTTTGAAGCTCTAAAAGATGGAAGATCATTCTGTTCTCAGTAAAAATCCCACATCTTCTCAGCTGACAGTTTTGGCACCATCAGATACTGCAAATGAGAAAATATTCCTCGCAACAAAGACTCACCACACCAGCCTCTGGATTTCTCTTCCTCCCATTACTAAAGGTGGAGGCTAACGTTGAAGAGCAGCTTTCATCATACAGAGCTGTCCGTCCATCATTTATGGCAGAATTGATGGAGATTGTCCACATGCTCGATGCATAACCATCACAGTTACAGTCATCATAGCTGCCTCCATCTCCAGAGGCCCACACATAGATGCTGCCTTTTCCACCCCGGCCCTGTGAGAGGAGAAAATCAACCCTCTGGAGTTAAACAGCAAATAGGAGATAGCAGCAACTTTAAACTTCTGAAGTGCTCAGGCCTGAACAACAGGCCCAAGCCAAAGTTGACTTAAGATGAATCCTGAAAATCATGAACTAGATACTGTCTATGGTTAGCCATTTAACAAAAGAATCTTGCATACAGACTGACCAAGCTGCTTTAACATGAAACTGGCTGCTTTAAAAACTTTCACATGACCTTATGTAACTATCTGCAAGATATGTTAATAAATGTATCATTTAAAGAAACCTTCCAAACTGACATCACCAGATGTTTATTTGCAAGAAGCTCTATTCCCACCATGGCCCGCGCTCTGCCAAGCCCTGGTCCCTGTTGGTTGAGAAGCGTGTTATAAAAGCTGGAACACTTGATTTGCAGTGACTTTGGAGACCTCACTTAGGAGTGAACGCACTTCTAGGACCTCCCAGTTCCCTGGAAAGTTCTCCAAATAGCCACTGCAACAGACCAATGGCTGTGGGTTCTGGATGATGGCAAAGTATTTAGGCAATTGGTGATGTATCTTTCTCAATCACTATTCTCTGTCTCTCATACAGTAATTATTAGTTGCATTATCTTGCTTGTTTTGTTTGTTGCTGAAGCCAAATGCATAGTAAGCTTATTGTTTTATTAAATGTATTGTTTCACCTCTGTGTTGCCTCAGTATTAGTAGTAAAATAAGGCCATTCTTTATTGTGTCCATGTCCTTTAAATCATCCCCATCAATTGGCAAAACAACTGCACATCTAATTGTAAACCTGAGCATCTCTAAAGGAGAAATATGGCACAAATAAAACATATATGCAACTTCAGCTGTGATACACAGATCTCTGCAGGTTACTAAATCCAGGTAAATGGCAGCCAAAGCCAGTTCAGCGATCTTGTGTACACAAAGCACTTCCATTTATCACCTGGTTTGCTTCACACCCTGAAGGCTCCTGTGGCACATGCCAAGACATTTTATGGATTCATTAGCATTTATGCCATGGTCTAAGTGCTATGAGGAAAAGTGTTTTAAAAGGGATATAGGTCATCTCACAGGCTGGGTTTGTAAGATCCAGTTTGGTTCAGACAATGGCTAAAAAGCTCTACCAGCACTATTTTCTCTCAATACATTTCTTTTTCCAAAGGTATGATTGGCTCAGAGTTGTTTTTCTGACAAACCAGATTCTACTTTTAAGGAGAAAATAAAGCTACAAGGCCTTTCAAAAAATCTACAGAAAAACAGTCCCGCAATTATTCTGAGACGGACAGGACTGACTGAAGTTGAAGGGCTACTATAAAGGCTTGCCATTAATTAAACAAAAGAAATCCATACCCTCTCCCCAGCTTCTAGATAGGCAGGTAGTGGGAAAGGATCAACTCAGCTCCTTTTAATTCCATAATCAGAAAGAGGTAGGAGCTGTCTGAAAGAGAGTCAGATGTGACAACTTCAACTCTCAGGGAAAGATCTGTGGTAAGGAACTCAAAGCTCAGATCTCCAAATGATTCCAGCACAGCCACCATTTCTCTCTATGTTTAGTTCAAGTAGTCCAACATTTACTTCCAAGATCACCAGAAGTCTGCAAGGCTAGAATTTAACACACTGTTTAGACGCACTGAGCAAAAGACTAAAAAATTTCTTCTGGTCTTCTCACTGCACAGCATGAAATGGAAGTTAATGAATATAAAAACGTAGTCACCTGCAGTAGCATTTTAATAGGGAACCTTTTCAGTCAGGATTTTACATCAAATCTGAGCTCCCAGCAGTAGCTTCTATTTTTCATTGCACCCCACTGAACAGAGCAACTTCATTATTTCAAGCACGTTAGTGAGTTGCATTATAATCCACTGAATTGCACAGCAGGATTGCTGACACTGGGATATGTAACATCTCAGGACACAGATTTTCATAATAAAGATAATGACTATGAAAAAGCTCTCTGAAATCCATCTAAGAACTTCCACAAAGGCCTGCTATCAGTTGCATTTTAAGGGAGGAGGATATTGTTGCAAAAACATGTACTTTGAAGAACAAAATCATGCTAGCAATTTATTTTAAAAATAAAATTCAGTAGAACAAGACCAGTAGTGCCTTTTTTCTCTTGGACTTTTTCCATATGCCACCTTTTGCTCTGAGTGCCATTAGTTTACGGGCCTAAACCTTGTCTTTGAACTGCTTTCAGAGGCTACATCCCAATCTTGCTGCCATCATTCCCACCTACATCACCACACCACTTTGCAACTCTGTACCTGCTTTGGACAGCCTCAGTCCCAAAAAACCAGGTGGCTGTCCAACACAGAAAGCAGGTGGCAGGAATAGGATGCTCATCATGTATGGACCCGTTCTTAAACAATCTCATTTCTTGTCATTTGAAAGGGAAACACTCCAATTTCATGTGAGAAATTCACTAAAGTGCTAACATGAATTTAACCTCAGCAGTGTCCAGCACACAGAAAAAACTTAGCCATGCTCAGCAGGACTGTTTTGTGCTGCCAAGAATTTTACCCCATGAATGAGATTTGTAGCTGAATGGCAGAAAATGCATGTAACATATTGTTGGTGTGAAGCAAGAGGAAGTCACAGAGGAACTGAAACTCTGGGATGGGTTTTATGCATGCAATTACTGTAACTTTGAGAATGGCTTCACGATATTGCTTTCACAGGAGTCATATCCATAAGTGATCTTAGTGTTAAAACCTACAACTCATCTCTTAATACTCTAATTTCAATTGCCTTTCCTTCCTATCCAGCCCTGGAAAGACAAGCAAACACGGCTGGAATAAACTGACAGCAGTCCAACTGCATTATTTGTAATGAGGCTTAGGACTTGTTGTTCACATGTCCCACAGTCAGATCCCACAGAAAAACTGCCTGCACAGGCTAGCTGTTTCGTGGCAGTTCTCAGGAATTGTGTAGTTTACCAGGTAAAAATATACAGCTTCAGGAGAAGTAAATTTTCAGTTCTCTGGATAGTAGTAGTAATAAAACTGATCTAGTCTTCATCTAGTGGGCCGCATCCTTGCTCGTGGCACAACAGGCGTTCAAGAATTAGATGGCCTTTAAGGTCCGTTCCTACTCAAAGCACTCTATGATTCTATGATAAGCAAGAAAAATAAAATCCAGTTGTATTAACTAAACATCATATTTAAAGTGAACTGAAAGCTCTTATTTGCATCTCAACCTTATGTGAACCTAAAACATATTACTGGTGTGACTCAAGCTGCTGTACATGTGGACCAAAAACGGGATGGAAGAAGGCAACAGTAACATACACTGTAACCACCAGAGGGAGCCTGAAGGAAGAGTCAGGAAGAACAAAACACCAGGAAGGTTTTAAGATACATTTTAAAGGACTATCTTTCCTCCACAATCTTGTAGAAATCGGCTCATTTCCTCCAAAAGTGATGCATGGCTTGGCACTCACCTTTCTGAGCCATCTGAAGATATATCTCACTCAGAGCTGAAAATGGATCATGGTGGATTTAATACCAGCCCAAGAGAGGCCCAGTTCTCAATTCAAGTTGAACCAGTTTTAAGTGTTTGGCAAGGCTATATGTTTAGTAATTCACAGACAGTTCCTGTGAAGCTCTCTTTAAGAAAAGAGCAGATTTTCTATTTCTGGTGTCTTTAGTGGGAAGCTGCACCATGAGGAAATGTTCCCTGAGAAACATTCTTACCCCTTTTTCTGATCTTCCATAAGTGCATAATCCTAGATAAATATCTTTTGTAAGCTACCTTGCAAAAGTGAGCTGGCAGAAGACTTCATCCTTTCTCACTTTATGTAACTTGAGGCATTACTTAAACTATGTTTTTCCCCTTTGTTGTTTTCTTCATTCATTATGCCTGCTGGGCTAGTACCTGAGCCAGTGTTTCCTGAAGCTTTGATTGTTTGATTGTTGCATAGCCACCTATTGTTGCAGCCTGAATAGCTGCTAGTAAAGTCCAGGGTAAGGAAGCAAAAAGGGCCTTTGTATAATATCAACAGATGTTTAATTCAGCTGGCCAGTGAGATGTTCAGAGTCCCAGCGCACACACATGTGGAGGGTCCAGGTTCCCCTCTCTCAAGGAGCCCCCAGAGTGACCCTGGTCTCTGGGCAGTACTAAGATAAGGGCCAATCGGGGGATAGGGAGGGAGTGGCTCAGGGACACAGGAACAGACATAGGAGGAGCAGGGGAAGGAGCCAGTGGGGTCTTACAGGCTTTTGAGAGAAGCTTCTTGTGTTTCCCCAAGCCAGGGGATGCCCTCCAGGGTCTCCACAACTCCCCATTTTGAAATTATTAAGAAAGCTTCTCTGAAGGATCAACACAAAATCAACACAAAATGACAAAAACTCATAAAAGCAGTCATAAGACAGTTTTCAAAATGCAAAAAACTCTGACTCCCCAATGACCAAACAGATTTCTTAGAGCTGGCAGGAGGGATGCAGTGTTCGCTTAGTACGGTTTATCAGGAAACTGAGTGAGGAGAAGGTTTCTTCAGCAGGGATTGGTTCTCTGTCACCTATGGCAGTGTTGTTGGCTGTTACAGACCCTGTATAAGGTAGTGTAGGTGGTGGTGTGCCTGTTGGAAACTATAAATAGAAATCATTAACTTTTAAGAAAAAGATGGTTACTTTAGGGAAACTTTCCTTTCTTTCCCTCCCAATCACACTCCCTCTGGTATTACAAAGGAACTCTGGGAAAAAAGATTAGTGGAGGGAGACCATAGGTGAAGGGAAAGGGAGGTGGGAATTTGTGGGAACATAAAAAAAGAGTAACAGGACAATGGAAAGGAAAAGGGGAAAGTGGGAGGGAGGTACAGATGCCAAAGGAATTTTTTGGGTTCTATTTCCTTGGTAGGTGTGTGGAAGACTTCTATGATGTGGATAATATTTTGCAGGTTTGCAGTCTGGTGCATGTTTACTACCTTGCACTGGAACTCTACCAGGTCTTGCCACATCGGCTGCTTGGGGGCCATTTCTTCCTTGTATTATATTA